TAAAGCTTAAAAAAAAAAAAAAGAATCCACAAAGCTAACGGTGATATGGCTTTAGTTTTTATTTATACTATGAAGGAACTGAGGAAGACATTGTGAAGAGGAGTCAAGAGTAAAAACAAAAAAGATAAGGGGAAGTCTGACAGAGCATGAATGAAGAGAGTTGGGAAGACTTTTAATGCCAAAGGGAAGATATGTGGGCTGTCATATGAAGGAGATAAATACAGAAACAGACTTAAGTTCACTGAAATAGCTTCCACAGAGGTGGAATTCAACAGCTGGCTGAGCAGCTGCCCTGCCCTATTGTGGCATTTTTCTAATGGAGGCTGGATAAAATGTTTTAGAAGGAATTCCTCTATGGGTAATTAGCTAGACTAGATGATGCCAAAGAAACTCTAAACTCTATCATCTTAAAAGCATAAAGTCTATAATTTTTAGTTTCTTTCTCCCCAGTGAATCCACAGGGGCCCTTGATCCTAACCTTTTATTAACAGTTATTTTAGAATTGGGTTTTAATATAAAGCAGACATCCATGAGCCTGACTTCAGAATACAAAACTGTTTTTAATATTTATAAAGAATAAATGTAGCCATTTTACTACAGGCCCTCGGTAGAGTGCCATAGCATCACAGCTCACAGCAACCTCCAGCTCTTGGGCCTAAGTGATTCTCTTGTCTAAGCCTCCTGAGTAGCTGGGGCTATAGGTGCTCACCACAACACCCACCTATTTTTTTTTTGTTGCAGTTTGGCTGAGGCCAGGTTCGAACCTGCCACCCTTGGTATATGGGGCTGACGCCCTACTCACTGAGCCATAGGCGCTGCCCCCTACTATAGGCTTCTTACTACCAGCTGCTCTCCTATTTTCTTTCAGTATATTACCACCTAGAAACATGGCAAAGAAAGTTGCTAGGAGGCAGTCATGAGATGACTCCAAATAAAGACAAAAAATAGTCACCAGCAGCCGGAGTCTTCCCTACTGGTCAAGACTGAAAAAAATAGCCAAGGGGCAGGGGGGAACCAAATGAATAAAAATTCTTGGTTGATCTCCATTCTTTCATTATTGGGATCTTCAAAACAATTCCTGAAAATTCCTCATGACAAAATGCCCTAATAATTAAAAACAGCTATACTTTATTGAGTATGTACTATGTCTAGATATTGTGTTATTCACTTTATTTTTATTTTTTTTTTAATTTTTATTTTTTTCTTTTATTGAGACAGAGTCTCACTTTGACATCAGAGCTTACAGCAATCTCAAACTCTAGGGCTCAAGTGATTCTCTTGCCTCAACCTCCTAAGTAGCTTGGACTACAGGTACCCGCCACAACATCCAGTTAATTTTTAGAGATGGAGATCTCACTGTTGTTCAGGCTGGTCTCAAATTCCTGACCTCAGGCAATCTAACCACCTTGACTACGCAGAATTTTAGGATTACAGACGTGAGCCACCACATCCAGCCATGTTATTCACTTTATGTTCCAAACTCAGCTAAAAGTCAGAACACAGACTTATAGAATTTTAGAGGGGCAAAGTACTTCAGAGATCAGATTTAACTCTCATTAGACAGATAAGCCTGAGATCAAGAAGGTTCAGTGATGCCCCTAAGGTCACACAGTTAGCTGGGGGTACAGTCAGAACAAACTTAGACCTCTGGAAAAGATGAACCTTTAACTTAAAATTAGAATTAATGTCAGCCTCTTAAGTCATTGCTATTTTTCCCTATTGCTAAGTCTGTAGGAAACAAAGTAAAAATGTTAAGTCCTACATAAGAGAAGGGAACATACTTTCCCTGAGCTCATTAGAAAGTTCATATGCCAGAGGTGGCGGGTTGAAACCTAGCCCTGGCCAAAAAGTACAAAAAAAAGTTCAAAAAAGTTAAGCAGATAATTATAAACACCTGTCAGATGAACAGACTAGACTAGCAAGAGCTGGTCCAATAGGTATGTCAAAAAATACAGGTCTTAAAAATATGCAATTTCAGGAAGGTTTTAAATATAAAGTAACATTTTATTATTATTATTATTATTTTATTTATTTTTTTGAGACAGAGTCTCACTATGTCACCGTCGGTATGGTGCCGTGGCATCACAGCTCACAGCAACCTCAAACTCTTGGCTTAAGCAATTCTCTTGCCTCAGCCTCCCAAGTAGCTGGGACTACAGGCACCTACCACAATGCCCAGCTAGTTTCAGAAATAGGGTCTCGTTCTTACTCAAGATTGGTCTTGAATTTCTACGCTCAAGCAAACCACCGCACCTGACCAAAACAATACAAATCTTAATGAAGTCTATATATAGCTACTATAAAAGAAGGCAAATCAAGAATCTTCCTCTCTTAGTATGGGAGAACGTCAGATCTGGTATCCTCTTCCTCTCTCATTGATCCTCCTAAGATTGTCATTCTTAGGCTGAGTTCACATCCCCAGTTCATTCTGATCTACTGCCCTGACCCAAAACACATTCCAAGAAGGCCCAGTATAGACACAGTAGGCTGACTTGTCATTACTCAAGAATGAACACTGGCAGAGTTAAAAGATTTAAAAACTAAAGTCTTTGAAAATTTACAATAAATAGACGCTGAGATTTTTTTTCTTGGACCACACAGAATCGAAGGCTCCCAAAACATGCAAAACACAAATATAAAAACCACATAAAGCTTTTTGCCTATTTTTATTTCCAAATAGTTTCCACATAAAATTCTATGATTTGCTGAACTGTATTAAAACTGTCTATAGTTGAATAAACAATAATTATTTACCCATTCTCTGACATTAAAGACAATCAGTTATTTGCTGACACTTTATAATCTAACTAAATGAAGGTATTTCCTAAATAATGACAGAGAACATCTCTTTAGGAACTCTGTCACCTTGAAGCTGAATTAAGAGCCAAAAGTCCTATTACAGTTTTAAGTCAAGAGGCCAATCAAGCTGAAGGTAGTATCTAGAAACAGATAGTATACCTGCTATAACAGAGTTATCTTTCCAACTCCTTTTTTTTTTTTTTGAGACAGAGCCTCATTTTGTCGCCCTCAGTAGAGTGTCATGGTGTCACAACTCACAGCAACCTCCGACCCTTGGGCGTAGGTGATTCTCTTGCCTCAGCCTCAGCAGGGACTACAGGTGCCTGCCATAATGCCTGACTATTTTTTGTTGCAGTTCGGCTGGGGCTGCATTTGAACTCTCCACCCTTGGTATATGAGGCCGGAGCCTACTCACTAAGCCACAGGCGCTGCTCCTTTCCAACTCATCTATAACAAGAACACTAAGTCTCTCCCTTACTAACCTCAATCCTCCTTCATAAAAGTAAAACATTTTAAAGTATAGTCATAGTGATATATAACCTGAAGTGAAGTGCCATAGAGACATGTCAACATTTTCAAATTGAAGAAGGATCTCAGATAGAAAAAAGCATTTCTTTTAAAAATCCCCACAGGGGATTAAGATATTATACACAGTATTCTGTATTTTTTATGTATCATTTTATTGCATACCACTGAGTTAACAGTATCTGGTAGAGTTATGACTCTAACTAAATAACTAAATGACTAAATAAATACATTTCTTCATTTCAACAGTTTTTCATTTCCAAATTAATAATCAATCACCTGCTATTATCTCTGAAAGGTAAAGAAAACATTGTGCTACTGAAACCGTCTTTTCCAGAAAAATCAAAAAGAAAATGCTACATCCTACTATGAAGGAAAAACTTTCTGAATTTTACAGATGGTGGCAAATGGAAATATGCCCAAGGAGTTTTACAACTGATTTCAGGTTAAAAGACAATGGTAAAAATCAAAACCCCTAGGGTTACCAACAACTTTGAGTTCTGCTTCTCACTGCTAGTAACCTTAACTTTATATATACATTAAATCCTCATGGGCACCACTGTTCCAAGTTTAGCATGGCACAGCTAAAGGCCTCAGAGGTTACCCAAACAGTGGAGGATATCTCAAGCCTCTGTGAGGCCAGAATCCCAAGCTTCCAAGCATATTTACTGGGTTACTGCACAAGTTACCACACCGTTCCTTGGCCCTCTTCTCCAGTCAGGCATTAGGACCACCCACTAGAAAAACATTATTATTCTTTTCTGCCTCAGCCTTTTCTATTCTAGGCAAAACATTTTCTAATCTCTCTTAGTGGATTCTATTTTTCAACTTTAAGAATCTTTATGGGTTAATATTATTATGTGTTTATCTGACACAGCATTATCAATGTAACCTGGCTCTTTGTACCCTCAATGAATCCCCAACAATAAAAAAAAAATCTCTATGGGTGGTGTAAAAATTAACTTCCCAGTGCTAGGCTGTATTTACAGAGAACTCATTAGGAAAAGATGGTTTAAGCCCTCTTTTTTCTTCTAGTAATCAACTATGTGAAAGAAAGAAAGTCAATTAATTTTTCTAAGACTTGGTTTCATCAACTGTGTGTACAATTAGATGATGTTTGAATCTCTAAAGATGTCTAAATTACAGAGGAGAATTACAACATTTTCCTCCAGTATTTGCCTTTTAGGAGACTGGAGGTAAACTAAGAGAAAATAGGCTGATGTTTTGAATTTTTTTTTTTTTTTGGAGACAGAGCCTCAAGCTGTCCCCCCTGGGTAGAGTGCTATGGCATCACAGCTTACAGCAACCTCCAACTCCCGGGCTCAAGCGAGTCTCCTGCCTCAGCCTCCCAAGTAGCTGGGACCACAGGTGCCTGCCACAATACCCAGCTATTTTTTTTGGTTGCAGCCGTCATTGTTGTTCGGCGGGCCCAGGCTGGATTTGAACCCGCCACCTTAGGTGTATGTGGCTGGTGCCTTAGCCACTTGAGCTACAGGTGCTGAGCCATGTTTTGAATTTTTTATGGATTAAAAAAAGAAAGGAAGAAGCTAGGTACAGTGGTATGTCCCTGTAGTCCCAGCTACTGAGGAGGCTGAGGCAGGAGGATTACTTAAGCCCAGGATTTTGAAAGCCTGAGCAATATAGTGAGACCCTGCCTCTTAAAAAAAAGAGAGAGGAGTCAGTTGCGAGCGAGCGAGCAGGAGGGTGCAAGACTGCAGGAGCAGAGCAATGCCTAAATCAAAGGAACTAGTTTCTTCAAGCTCCTCTGGCAGTGATTCAGACAGTGAAGTTGACAAAAAGTTAAAGAGGAAAAAGCAAGTTGCTCCAGAAAAACCTGTGAAGAAGCAAAAGACTGGTGAAACTTCAAGAGCTCTGTCATCTTCCAAACAGAGCAGCAGCAGCAGAGATGATAACATGTTTCAGATTGGGAAAATGAGGTACGTTAGTGTTCGGGACTTTAAAGGGAAAGTTCTTACTGATATTAGAGAATACTGGATGGATCCAGAAGGTGAAATGAAACCAGGAAGGAAAGGTATTTCTTTAAATCCGGAGCAGTGGAGCCAGCTGAAGGAACAGATTTCTGACATTGATGATGCAGT